CGCGACGGGAAGGGGCGGCCGCGGCGACCCGGACCGTGCGCGCCAGCCCGGCTGCAGCCCCGCGCACCGAGCGCCGCGATGGGGCTGGAAACCGAGAAGGCGGACGTCCAGCTTTTCATGGAGGACGACGCCTACAGCCGCCACAGCGGCGTTGACTACGCTGAACCGGAGAAGTTTGCGGCGTCGGGCCCTGACCGGGATCCCCACCGGCTCAACTCACATCTCCAGGTGACGCGCGGCGCGAGCGGTAACCTGGACCTGAGGCTGGCCCAAGCCCCGAGCGCCCACTTCCCGTCCTCCCTGCCCCCACCCCTAACACTGGTCAGCCCCGCGGGGCCGGGACCCGTACCTCCTTCCTCACCACGCTCCCTAGGCCGTCTGGGTAGCCAGGGATTCTTAGCCAAATTCGGGTGCGCGCACCGTGACCCGAAAAGAAGGTGCAGACGCCCTGGTCCAAGCCTTTCGTTCTTTATTCTCCCGCCCCAAACGCTCCTGGTTCCGGGGGTGGCAGGTTGGGTGACAGTTCGGGGTGGACCTTGCGTCTTATCTCGGCAGCTGGGCTTCGAGGATGTGGTCGCCGAACCGGTGTCTACGTACTCCTTTGACAAAGTGTGGATTTGCAGCCATGCCCTCTTTGAGATCAGCAAGTACGTGGTCTACAAGTTCCTGACGGCGTTCCTAGCCATCCCCCTGGCCTTCGCTGCGGGAATTCTCTTTGCCACCCTCAGCTGTCTGCACATCTGGTGAGAAGGGCCACACAGGGGTGGATCGGTTTCTGAAACGTCGAGATATTCTTTGCCACCTGCCCCTACCCTCCTCCTCCAGGCCTTCTTACTGGGGGAAAAACTCGCTTCAGCTCCCCAGATGCAATAGCAGATACTGGGAGGCCTTGAAAGGCAGTATGCTTTCTTAGAATAATAGGTTGGTTGGGAGTTTAAACGGAAGACAGACTATCCCTCTTTCCTCGGGCACAATTTTCCCTCAGATATGTAAGAGGAGCCCCGTGTGGAGGTGGAGACCTGGAGGCCATGCTTCCTGCCACAGGCTGCTCTCTCATAGGGCTGTGTTATGACTTGTGTGTGTGGTTCTGGGCAGGGCTCATTTCTTTCGTTATCTTTTATTCAGTCATCACCTGTGCTTGGGGTAAAACACAAGTGATCTCTAAGCTGAATGCCGCTGACAATAGGAATTGGGCAGGGGTGGCAGACCTGCCTAAGCATCACAGTGGAGGCGCTGCTTCAGTCCTGCCAGTAGCAAACAGCAAGGATGGGATTCGAGGAGGTGCCAAGGTGTGCAGTTAAGGTGAGGGTACTCCAGCGCAAAGGAATGAAAACTCAAGCCGCAGGATAATGACGTGAGAAGGCCTCTAAATGGCATTTTCACCTATGAAGCACAAATGAGAGTAGCATCTAGTTAAAGGGAAAAGAAATATGGAAACTTATTGGACACTAATACGTTATTCAAACCCAAAATGCATTATAAAATTTGGAGAACATTTTTAAGCATTAACACAATTTTAAAAGGGTAAATGTCATATTTTTACCAAGAAGCTTTTGTTGTAGTTTTAAAAGGTAGCTATTCTGAGAGGAAGAACATTCAGATCATCCCCAGTATTGCCACAGTTGTCAACCTAATGCCACCATGTCTCTTTTAATCACTTTATCAAAGGGTAATAAAGGATAAATAAAAATTCACTAAATAAAGGATAAACAAAGAACACCAATTTAATTTGCTCACTAAAGATTGTTAACAACTAAACTGTTGAAACTGCCAAAAGACTATCAGAAATGAAAATCTTTGTCTTTATATATGAACAGATCCACAAAGTTCCTATAATTTTGTCAGATTTAGAGTTATCTCCTATTCTGACATTAGTACACAGATTTTTTTTTAAAAATGCCTAAGTCAGCACATAAATATTTGGATTCCAGATTAACTAACAATCCATCCTATAACTTCTGTGTCAGTGTTCTCACATTCAAAAATGTGAAAAACAGAGTGACCACATAGCATATTGTGAAATGTTGACTGTGAAGCTATTTGAAAATATGAAGTGCCAAGTAGGCCTTCCTAAAGCTCTTGTGGAAGAATTGGGAAAAAAAAAAAAAAAAGTCTTCATTTACTAAATAGTGGAAAGATAGAAGTAAAACTATAGTTCACCAAATGATGTTTCTCTCTACCTGGCCGTTATGAGAACTGGGGGTGTTTTTGTGCAATCCTTGCATTGGTGAATTGTCAAACCACCTCTTTTTAGCTACATAAAATGTATTATGTAACTTTCAGCTTGTTTTTTTCAAATTATGTTTATGTGGGACATTAATATTTAACTGCCACACATTTGTCATCAGGCAGCTGTGATTGCAAGTAGGGGGAGTAATTGAAGAAAAAAAGAAAAAAAAGCTCAAAAGTTAGTTTAATCTTGATAAAACAGGCGTATCAGTAATGGATTACATTCCCGTGATACAATAAAACCAGCTCAAGAAAAGGCCTTATAGAAAAGCAGACCCGTTTGGGTAAGGATTTTTGTTGTAGTTGTTGTTTTTTGGTGGGGGTAGTAGGAGAGGTAGAAGGCTGGCGGGAGAAGAGTGTTTATTGTTTTACAAAGAAGCTGATGATCAAAGCTATGAAAATACAAAGTAATGGAACTTTGAACCAAGCCACAACATCACAATGAATCTGATTTTAAAATCTTTAAACGAACAAGAAAACAGAACCCAGGCTGGTGATGTTGGATCCTGGGCTGGAAGTACAGGTTATATAGGGATCAGTGAATTGGTTTGATCCCATACCACAGTCAGACTGAGGTAGCCACCATTTGGCAACTGCATGTTATTGATCATAGTGATCACACCAAAGAAATGGGGTTGGAGCTCCCATACCCCTTGTTTTTTCTGGGATGTAATGCAAGTAGATATACAACTGGTAGAAATTTAGTAGTAGCAATCTCATTTCTATAAGACAACAAATTGCTATAACAATGCAATCTGTATGACATTATAGTTAATACAAAACTAAATAAAAGAATCTCTGTCCTAAGAGCTTTATCAGCTAATGGAGGAATATATAATCTTACAGCTGATAAGACTTATATAAGAAGTATTTGGTTGACCACATTGAACCTCAACCATGTTTGGGGTCAGTCCAAATTGCCAGGAGCTTCAGAAGGGAAACCATTTGGATATTGAGAACACAATTTGAGTTTGATATCCTCTGATCCAAAGTGAGAGAACAACCGCTTAAAGAAAATAAAATTAAAATGATTTCACCATGTCCTATGAACTGAAGTCCTCAAATGTGAGCAGCTACACTTTGCTGAACTGGAAAATCTACCTTTGTCATGTGCTTAATTCCCTTTTAGGACACGCAGATGGAAGGAGTTATGGGAATAGAAAAGTTCTTAGCCTAAGATAGAGTGGAAAGTGCATCTACTCTGGCTGAAGTGGATTTGGTTATGAAACTTTCTAATCTAAACTTCTGTCTTTTAATATGTCAGTTTGAGGTTATTTTGTTATAATTATTTTCATTATATTTTCTGACCTCAAAATAGTTCCATTTATTATTCATTAGAATGACAGCATCATATGGACATTTCAAGAGTGCATAATAAATCAATCTTGATAGCCAGTGTCTGCATGATTTCCTGTTCTCGCTTTAACTTGTAGCAATTTTCCCAAGGCTCCACATCAAGTGAGAAACATAATGGGATAAGAAGTCAAAAGTTGCTATCATTCAGTTTCTATTCAGACCGTTTCGCTCTGAAATGCCCAGTCATTTATTTCTTATAAAACTGTTTAAAGTATCTAGCACTTAGAACAAAACACGAGATAAATATAATCTGTGTAGACAGTCAGTATGAATAATTCAGTATACTAAAAATATATCAGTTAATCAGACATTTGCCTGATCTTCCCTTCACTTTGGGCTAAGTACAGCAGATCTTTATTTAAGTCACATTTTAACAGCAAACCAAGAAAATCAAACTTACTCCTTTGTGCCCCACCCCCCGGGTAATAATAAAGATTCCATTGAGGCCACCAGCACTGCATGAGAAAAATACTTTTGTGCTCAAGGAGCACTACAACAGAGAACATTATTAAGAGGATTACACTTTTATAAAAAGTCAAGAATAGGTATATACACAAAAAGCAACATTCTTTGATGGTTACTAGGGATGAGAGGGGGAGGGCTGGGGAGTCACTTACTAGATAGCAGACACGTGTTAATTATGGTGATGGGAAAGGCAATGCACAATATGGGGGAAGTCAGCCCAACTTGACCAAATAAATGAAGACACTGAGAGGTACAACTACGGTAAATGCTATACATGATTTTTGCAACAAAAAATATGTGAATGGTTACATAGGTAGATATGTATGCTGTATAGATGTGGGAAGGCATTTGGGAATATATGCACGTGTATATATATTTGTGGGCATATGTATATACATGTTTGTATGTGCTGCATATTTATTCATATATACAATAAAGCACATAAGGGGCACAGTCAGGGATACTTCCTAGACATATCCAAACACCTTGTGGGATTGATTTACTGGGTTTGAAGGCTCAGGACCATAGTCTCCTGGGACAACTAGGTCAAGTGGCATAATTTGATACATAAAGATAATGTTCTACATCCTAGTTTGGTGAGTAGCATCTGGGGTCTTAAAAGCTTGCCAGCAGCCATCTAAGATACAACTATTGGTCTCGTCCTATCTGGAGCAAAGGAGAGTGAAGAAAACCAAAGACTCAAGGAAGAAATTAGTCCACAGGACTAATGACCCACATGAACCATAGCTTCTTCTAGCCTGAGACCAGAAGAACTACATGGTACCTGGCTACCACCAACAACCATCCTGACCAGGCAACAATAGAAGGTCCAGGTTAGAATGGGAGAAAAATGTACAACAAAACTCAAATTCATAAAAAAGACCAGATTTACTGGACTAATAGAGACTAGAGGAACCCCTGAGACTATTGGCCTAAGATAACCCTTTGCACTTGGAACTGAAGCCACTCCTGGAGGTCACCTTTCAGCCAAATAATAGGTTGGCCCATAAAATAATAATACCCGTGAGGAATGTGCTCCTTTAAACAATCAACTATACGAGACCAAATGGTCAACATTTACCGAGAAGCAAAGATGAGAAGGCAAGGAGGGGCAGGGAAATTGGATGGATGGAAACGGGGCAGGAGAGATGGAAATGGTGAGGGTGCTGACATGTTGCAGGGATTGTAATCAATGTCACAGAACAATCTGGGTATGAGTTGTTAAATCTGATTTTCTGTGTAAACTTTCAGCTAAAATAATAAAACATTAGGGAAAAAAAAAGGGTTGCATTGGAAGTTAACCGGACTGGGAAGATAAGTATATGCAATTATCTTAGGAAAAGGCATAGAGGTAAAATAATTTCAGGAAAACCTAGTTTATCTTATTTAAGAGTTTTGACATCTATTGCAGAGCTCTTTTAACTACACCACAGAGCTCTTTTCAATGTGTATAATTACTATGAAAAATTATTGATATAAAGCATAACAATGCTAAATTCGTTTCAGTTCAAACATTTACTATAGGTCAAAGATGTTCTCACTTAAAGAGCTTACATTATATTAGGAACAATGGAAATAGAAGCATCTATTTATAGAGTCACAATGAGTCAGAATCGACTTGACAGCAACAGGTTTATTTATGATATATTTTGGTAAATTTGAGAAGAAGTTTGTTCCAGTACTTTGAAAGCACCAAAAAGGAGTACCTAACCCATCCTAGTCCAGAGGGTAGGGAAGTGGAATGAGGCAACAGGAAAGGCTACCAGAAAGTAGAATTTCAGGGAAATATGAAGAGTTACACAGTTTAAAGATCAGGGATAGGAAGCAGGTGGATAAATATATTGTTTTGTTAAGTTGTGTTTTACTGATTTACATAGCATGCACCAAGGGAAGGAGATAACCATTTATCATGTACATGCCAATTTTTTAATCAGCATATCTTTTGTACATCTTAGTACTGTGAGGGTAATTGTTCATTTATTTGTTTCAAATGTTCAGACAGATTCAGGGGAATTTGGTCATTATTATATCTTTCCATGTATGTACAAGAGTCAGTAGCATTATTTTGTGACACCAATAATCCCTACATCTCTCCCTCTGCTCCAGGATTATAATGCCTTTTGTAAAGACCTGCCTAATGGTCCTGCCTTCAGTGCAGACAATATGGAAGAGTGTGACAGATGTTGTCATTGCGCCATTGTGTGCAAGCGCAGGACGAAGCTTCTCTTCTGTCAGCCTGCGACTGAGCCACGACTGAATACTTGGACCCCAGGTCTGGAGATGTAGATACTGTTAATACTTCTCTATGGTTATAACACAGAAGCACCACTGCTCTGTTCATTTCCCCACTCTTCTAATTAAGAAAACGATTACAATGGACAACCACATTTAGAAGTGTTTATTGGCAGGTCTTTTCAAATAATACTTTTATAATTAATAGCCAAGGATTTCCTATCTAACTTTACAGCCAGAATTATACAGTAGGTTGGCAACACTTTAATGTTAAAGGCAGACAGTTTTTGCTTTAATACAAAAGTATTAAAAAATAAAAGTATATATTTTATAGTGAAGAATTTATAATGATCAAGGGACATTTCTCTCAAAACACTATAATAGTTTTGTGCACAACTGCTAATGAAAATATGGGATCTGTTATTTTTCTTTCTTTTTTTACTCACAGAGTAGTACTTTTTAAATTGCCTTTACAGATAAATTTTTGGCGATAGTTAGGATATATAAAGACTCATTAGCAATAGCAGTAACAGAAGCACACAGTGGTGGTAATAGCTATCAAATATGATAAAATGAATAAATGTGAAAATAGATTCATGAAAATGTATTCCTTTAAATAAGGTATTGTTAACCTACAGGCCTATTTGACAAGATTTTTCATTTTGCGGTGTATTTTGTACTTAATGTAAATGTTGCTCTAATCAGATTGCTTTAAAGCACTTTTATTATATTTGTTATTTTGTCAAACTAATATATAGAATAAGTAAATGTATCTCCCATGAGGAACTTCACTGGAGATTGCACTGTCTTGATTGTGTAAGCATAAATATCTTATTTTGGAATAGAATGTAAAAGACCAATCAATGCTTTCCTTTATAACTTTTCCAAGCAAAATCTTGAACTGTGTTACGACTGATATGTATCTGGCCATAATCGTAAAATAATCCATTTCTAATTGGTATTTCATCATCTAGGAGATGCTTTCTCTCTTGTAGTTAGAAATTAAACCTGTATTCTGTATTCCTATTAATGTTTCACTTTACCTTCAAGTAATTTTGGTGCTATGTGATAACATTTTCCGATAAAGGCTACTTCTAGCGCTTAGTACAATTTAAGCTGCAATGAGAGACTGAGAGTTGTTAACTTCTTGTTGGATCCATGCTACTGAGCTATATGCATAAATTAAACACCAACAGCTACAGACTATTATGATGTTGTATAATATGAGTTTTGTAACAGTGTAAAATTATTCTTATTTTTTAACTGCAAGGTCCTATTCAGTGTTATGTCACTTTAAAAAGGCTCATTATTCTGAAATGATAGGCACGTACAAAAAAATGTCTAAGAGGCATGTGAGTAGCTTTTAGACAAACTTTCTATAATGTCACATCTTAAAAGTGCGTACATTATAAGTGCTCAAATTTCAGAACCTGGGTTAACATTCCTTGCATATCTTCAAAGGTAAGAAATCTTTATTCAATGACGATTAATTTGATCTTTCAAAATAGCCATGATGGTCGATATAAAAGATGATTGAACTAGAATACTATTGGAGACCAAAGCAAGCAAACGATTAAATTATGAAACTCATATCCTTTTGAAGGTAGTTACAAGAGACATTTTAAAACTGTCTTAGGCCATTGTAGCATCCTTGAAAAGAGTCTCAAAATCATTACCTGCTGCTTTTAGCAGTATCACCCATTTGGCTGCATAGATTCTATTACATTAGTTTAAAAGGTCAACCAGTCTCATGACTTTATAGTTACACCTTGTATTTAAAATTGTTTATAAAATGTTTGGATGTGTCGATTAGCCAAAAGTATTTGATGAATCAGATATATACTTTAATAAATCATGAACTTCTATCTTTTCAGATAGTGACTGGCAAGTTTAAAGCCTAAGTAGGCTGACATATAACAAAACCTCCTACCTTTTAACAAGTAATACATACGATTTCCTTATTTCTGAACAGTATTTATTGAGATTTACTATTAACTGTTTTATTTCAAAGATTCAAATTTTGTACTAAGTGGGTTCAGGTTTCATGTTGGTTCTTTTTATTATTTGGGGGAGGGGTAGGTAATGAGATTTTCTCAGTATCCATAATAAACTTTCTAAAAACCCATAAAATGTGTTGAAATCGTTTATTTCATTAAATGTGGAACTGATCAATGAGAACCTTTTCAAACTAGTGTTTACCTTGTTAAAAACTCGTAGTACATAATAAATACATGAGTAGATGCTAACTTTGGAATATATCTGTGGAAAATTGTGAGATTAGTAATTTAATTCTTTCTTTTCCCAGCATTTAAAGAGGTTCCATATAAATTTTTCTGTCATTTGATGATTGGTATGAAATGGCCTGTTCACAAACCCACAATACTTCATCTTCTTATGAAGTAGTCTCTTCTTGAAAATCCTAAATAAACTGACATTTCTGTTTTCAATGATAAAGTAATAACAATATAAATCACATGCACTTGGATACCTGTACCATAAAGCCAGAGTACAGTCCAAAATTATTTTTGGAAAGTGAGTATGTGAAGAGTATTTGCTGACGTTGGCATAGATTTTCTTGTGTCAGTTATTGTGGGAAAATCACCAACCTTTAATAATATAAAGCAAGTATTTGCCTTTTTCAGTGTGTTTTGTAGCTTTAAAGAACTTTATAACTCCCTCTTTTGGATAGTGATCCATATCCCATTAGTTTATTTTGATGCCTTTCTTGGGAATCTGTTAAGAGTGTAGTAGAAAGAGCCCTGGCCTAAGGGTCAGGCATCTGGATTCTAGTCATAGCAATGCCGTTACTGAGGGGTGTCACCTCCAGCAAATGATTTAATCTCTAGGTCTCAGTTTCCTTATCTTTAATGAAAGGATTGAACCAAATGACCTCTAAGGAGCTTCCCATCTCATTATTTTCTGTAACTTCAGTAGGATGAACATTTGACTGTATATATGCAATCCAAAGTAGCTGTTCCATTCAGGGGTTTTTAAAAATCAATAAACTATCAATTTGAGAGTTGGTGTGCTATAAATACAATAATTAATGCATGCACTTTACTCTCTTTGATTGATTGTGAAAATGTGTATGTGACTTTGACTCTTCGTGACAAGGATTCCTAACATTTTAACAATTCTATCTTTATTACTGTGTAATTTTCTGCTAAACATAATATACTTCAATTAATTCAAATTTATTGTATTGAAGATTTTTACCAAAATTGTTGCTACATTACCATCGTCGTGGCTGTTTTCATCTTTTGCCTAGCTGTCTGCACTGGCCTCACTCCCTGCCTGCCATATGATCTCCCTCCAATCCATCTTTCCTTGAAAAAAAAAAATAGTAGTCATGTTAAGACTCCCCTATCACTTCCCTGCCTAAAAACATCAATTGTATGTGATTGCCCTTAGAATAAAATCCAAACTCTTGAGCAACGTGTACAAGTCCTTCATTATCAACCCACTGTCATTTTTATCGACTGTCAGCGGCAGCCTTATTGAAGTGTCAATGCTGCTTCTGTGTACCCTGCTCTCTCCTGCCCCTAGAATGGCACCACTCTTTCCCTAGTGTTCTGCCTAACTCCCAGCTCCTTCCAAAAATCCACGCAGACTTCACTTCCTCTGGGAAGTCTTTCCACCCAACCACTCAGACTCACATTAAGTGAATATGAAGTACATATCTTCATATAAATTCTTGTACAAATAAAACTAACCCTGTTAACTAAACCACCTAGACTGCTAGATCTTTCAGGACAAAAAACATGACTTCATCATTGTTTCCTGGGATTCTGAAATGGTGGCCAGCATTGGATGAGTTCTCAACCAATACTTTCTTAATGAATGACTATATGAATAAATAATTGAAGAAAACTTGTCATTTTTGCAGAACTAGAGTTGGAATCACTTTGTATAATTTTCTTCATTTGCAAGAGGGACTTGAAATGCACTGGTTCTGATAAAATTTTTTGTCTCAACACTTTCTCACTCATGAATCATTAAATCGGGAAGACTAAAATGTACATAAAAGTGATCATCTAAGATACTCCACTGGTCTCACCCCATATGAAGCAAGGGAGAATGAAGAAAACCAAAGACACAAGGGAAGGATTAGTCCAAAGGACTAATGGACCACAATTACCACAGCCTCCACCAGACTGAGTCCAGCACAACTAGATAGTGCCCAGCTACCACCACCGACTGCTCTGACAGGAATCACGGTAGAGGATCCCGGACGGAGCTGGAGAAAAATGTAGAACAAAATTCTAACTCAAAAAAAAACCAGACTTACTGGCCTGATAGAGACTGGAGAGCCTCTGAGAGTATGGTCCCCGGACATCCTTTTAGCTCAGTAATGAAGTCACTCCTGATACTCACCCTTCAGCCAAAGATTAGAAAGGCCCATAAAACAAAAGGAGACTAAATGGGCACACCAGCCCAGGAGCAAGGACTAGAGGGCAGGAGTGGACAGGAAAGATAGTAATAGGGAACACACGATCTAGAAGGGGAGAGTGTTGATGTGCCGTGGGGCTGGTAACCAATGTCACAAAACAATATGTATACTGATTGTTTAATGAGAAGCTAGTTCTGTAAACCATCTAAAGTACAAGAAAAAAAAGTACATAAAGCATATCAGATGCATTTCGTCCTTTGGAGTAGTTAAGTCTCAATTCTGTTATCTGAAGCCTATTTTTAAATCTTCCGGGGCAGGAAGCCCTAGCTCTTAGAAAGTTATTTGGAAACATACTTTTGGGGCATTTTCGAATGTTGTTATTTCTTTTGCTCTTCTGCTTCCCAATTTGAAGTTTCTAAAAATAAAACATTGTTTTTACAGAAGTTTACTTTGTAGAAAACACAGTCCCATACATGATCTCATTTGAGTCCTAGGACGAATTAAATAGCATCATGGAGAAACTACATAAATAATGGCTCAGATTTTTTTTAACTTACAACTGTATCATTTTAGAATGTGTTTATTTAAGATAACCAGAGCTTACAGAATTTTCACAGGGTTACACATTAAGAATATATATATATATATAT